GTAGACCAAGTCTTGTGAGGCTAATGAAAAAGATAAGGGTAATGAACAGCGATCAACCTCACAATACAAATATGTGAATAGTACATAGTACACAGACACCCTGGAAGCTTAAGAGATGGAATCAGGTGCCTTGGATGTGTAAGCATCTCCTACTGACTGGTCTTACCAATCATGAATTCTACGTATTTATCAGGTAGAAGGAACATTCATCAAATTAAATGTAAAAGCAAAGGCCTGACAATTAGTAAGAATTGTCAGCTAAATTGTGACCAAATGAAATGTAACATTTGAGCCTCGTCGGATAGAAATCGACCTTATGGCAAAATTTATCGAATTTGAGATTTTTGTGTTTTTTAATGGTCCATGTTAAACCATTACAGAAACTGAAAACGGAATCAAAATATCTTCATTTATAACAAAGTTATTACATTTTGAAACTGGTATGTTTGCAAAATTAATCTGAGCATATCGTGGTTTTTTCACGATTCAATTGTGACGTCATGGTTTATTCTCCGTTGTTCGGTAAGGCACCTGTCAACGCGTAGCAATCCAAGCGGTCATCATGTCTAAGTTAAAAGAACTGCTTAATAAATGACAAAAACAGATGATCATGATGTACAATCCCAAAAACTGTGTTAACTGCATTTTAAATCCTTTAAAAAACGAATACTCCCCCCCCCCCACCCCACCCCCGATGTTTAATTTCTACTTTTCTGTCTTTCGTACCGACAGCTTTGTCTCTATGAATAACTGAACTTCCAATAACATGAATAAACAAAATATAGATTTACACTATACTGCTTTTAAGTTTGATAAAGCCTGTATCCTCAAAGCATGCAAGTTAGTTAACACACTATGTTAGATTTTACGTTATCACCATGTAAAGGAAAAGGGAACCAATGTAGATCGAGTTAAAATTTACAGCGATTCGAATTCGATCTCAGAATACCTAGTTTCTTACAGCGAAATACATGAACCATGCAGCCAATAAATTCACAACTTAAATCATGCTACTGTAACGTGAAGCGGCCACCCATCCAAGGGTTAAACAGGCTCGCTGTTGCTTAACTTGCCTGAAATAGAGGGAGACGCTACCGCATCACCAGAAAACTAGCTCACTAGCGAGGCAGTATAAGTTCCCTATATATAATGTCCGCTACACTACAATAATTACTCTAAAGTTAAATTTAAAAAATCACATCCATCTGTCTATACATAGTGATTACGTGAAATCAAACATGGTGTGATACTAGCCCTGTATCTAAAAGCAAGCTCATTTTATTAGGATTTTTCTCCGTAAAGCCGTTTCTACTGCAGCCACATTCACCTTCAAATAGCTAGTTCGTAAATATACACCCTGTTTTCCTCCACATCATTCTCGCTTGGTTGTAATTGGACGGATAGCTCGACAAAAATTTAGCCACTGTGTCTTTGTATTATTACCCCCCCCCCCTCCTAGTAAAACCCCAATCGTCTTTTCATCAAATGTCTATTATCCATAATGTAGAAAAAATAAATAAGTCAATATACATGTACAAATGATTGATTGATTGAATTTTGCTTCACGCCGAGTCGGCAAGATTTCAACAATTATCGGCGGGAAATTTTTATCTGTTGCATGCAAAATACATGTAGTTGATAACCTTAATATAGGGAACTATTTAACGTTCCATCCGACGGACTATAATTTCAAAAATATGTTAACAGTTAAAAAAGATTTCTCTCTGTGTTCTTCAACAAAATATCTCATAATGTACAAAATTTTACTTTAAAAATCAATTTGATGTGAATAATTTAAAATTCATTGTTAAATAAAATTATAATCATGCATCGTTCGTACATTTTTAATTAACTTCGAACGTGAGAGACCTCACCTAATTTAGGAGAATAAGTTTTATAGTTACATGTAGCGGAAAGTCAAGGGAAACATAATTGTTTACACATTAGTAAGCTGAAATTCTTGACTCAATAAGTATGCATGCATTATTTTTGGAAGAGGATTTTTCATTTTTTTTTTTTTTTGTTCTTTATAGCCTATAGTTTATCATCATCGGATACTCATCTTTATTCATCACCGGGCGATAGGTAAAGACGAGATCACTCGTGGATTTCCGACGATGATAGTTTATTTGTAACGCAACATTCTAATGCATTTTCAAAAAGAGATTTTTCATAAAGTTTACAAAATATTTTTATCATCAGAAAAAAAAATGAATGGATATCAATATGAATTTCAGAAATGCAAAAATTATAATTTCTTTGTTACATGTAACTGGAGTAATAGAAATGCATTGAAGGAAAGTAAAAGAAAAACACAAGCTATATTGAATTACGATATAAAACCATGTGCCAGAACATTTTCTTTCTTTTACAATTCAATTAACTGGAAACGAACTAAATGTTAAAAAGAAAATTGATTACGTATAGACTGTATGGATTCTAAAATAAATTATATCATATTTAGCCGGCGAGATAGCTTTTTATACATGTATGATGACTTAAGAAGCCCCCCCCCAAAAAAAAAAAACAAAAACATTTAATCTCCTTTAGAGAAAAATAATATGTTTGAAGGCACGCAGAGTACGGATCGACAGAATTCTGTAATCCGGTTGCTAACCCAGTCCATCACAACACTTATAAAATTATAGACATTTCATAATTATTTGTTTTATGATTTTGTAAATAAAAAAAATCAAATTTAAAAAAATGAGATTTATAGTCAAGTTATCTGTTGTGGGTATCCACCCTCTCTTTAAAAAATAGAGAATTGTAGAAGAATTTTATAATGTAGAGAACGTATTGATGTTATAATTTGAAAGTCTTAGTACAAAACGAAACCATATTCCTGTTATTCACGAAGAGGTGAAATCCTGCTCAAGATGATTTTTGTGGAAGAGTTTAGTATTAACGGGGTTCGAAATACTTAACATTATGCTGAATATTTAAAAACACCTTTCACAAAACTTTTGTTTTTGACACCCGACTTTAGAGTAATTGTTTTTTTTTTTTTTTTTTGGTTTACAACTCTTTAACATATTAATGACATAGAAAGATATGTTTTACAAACCGGGCCCATCTTACATTTTCGCCAGCCAAGTTAAAATCATAGGTGATCCATCGTCGGTATTTTTATAAACTTGCAAAATAAGGAGTGAAATATTTAAGAAAATTAACTTAAAATCTGGTAATGGAAGAGACAAAAGTTAAGATAGAGAGAAAAAACATCTTTAAGAAAATGATTCCCCGTGTTGAGCCTCTTTTTGCGTTAAAGGGAAGCAACTTGCACAATTTATCGTATCCAGTCGCTTCGGACAATACGTGTTTTCGTTTGAGAATTACTGATATATGAAGAAATTGCCTTAAACAATACCAGTATTACTTGTTTCTTGATATCTCTTAATATTGTAGTTAGAAAAATGCGTTTTAAAAGTTGTTGAATCGTGGCCTTTGTACATTTTGTACTGAATCGATATGCCTATAGGCCTATAGCTGTTTGTTTTGTTTTGGTTGGTTGGTTAATTTCTGTGATAAATTTGAAAATACACATAAATTCATTCAAAGACATGAAACGTTAAAGTATATACAATATAATATTGCGAATTTAATCGAGAATGAATGAATACACGTGCACACGATGATAGTAAATGAAGTTCACACACTTATTGCTGCATCAGTACATGTGCGATTTTCTGTGCCAGATTACGTCTCCTCTGGCTAAAATTTATACTCTAAACTACAATAAAAATATATTCTGTACTTCCTCAGTAATGCATCATGCCACTTTTTTCTTCGCTATATGTCTACCAACTTATTATTTATCTGGTGTTAGATTTGGCCTTACGTCTTCTGCTGTTTGAAAAAAAAAAATAAGACAAGTGTAGATCGGACTCGGCATTCCTCTGGCTTGTGTTTACATTGATCCATGGTAACAATAAAAAAAAATAGGCTCTACGAAGGGGAATACATTTAAAAGTTTATTTAATTAGTACATGTTTAAAATGATCCGATTTTTTAAAGAAAAATTCTTTGAACTGCAGTTGACGATGTCTAAAACATTTCTTAAAGTGAAAACCATGTGTAGTAAAAATACCGGGAAATCTTTCTCAACTTTATTCGCTTTTTTCTCATTATGACGTTGCATACGATAAGGTCGATTTCTATCCGACGAGGCTCATTTGCTAAAAGATCATAATGACCATAGAATTTACAAAATGCAAGCTTTCAAGAGGCTGTTGGAATTCCTTGTAACATCAACTTATCAGTCAGTAGCCTGGTTTTGTTTATAACAGATTGCACAAGTAGCATGCATTTAAGTACCAAATAAATATGAGATATAAACACAACATGAAACAAATTGAAGGTGTTGTTAAGTTCTTCTATGAAATGTTATCCAGTACTATTTGTAAATATAACTGCAAACGGCTACTTTCGCACCATAAAAATATTATTTAAGTGTGCTCACACCAACATTCCTCATTGTCAAACATATTAACATTACTGCACAAGCACACATATCATATAAAAGTCATCAGCAAACTCTAATGTAACTATGCTACATGTATTCAGATCGTCGTTCACTGCTTAAGCTAACTCCTGTTCTATGAGCGAGGAAATTCGGGAATTTGGTAGTCAGCATATAAAAAGGTCAATAAGTTATGAACACAGGCAACGACCATCTTGAACTGTTGGTATTAAAAACATTACCTAACACCTTGACTTGCAGGTGTTTTTTGACATAAATGAATTCTTAATTCCTTTAATCGTGATCCAAAACGAAGTGCCTTTGCTGCGTTCGCTGCCATTGTTGTTTTGATAAAATCGCACATACAAAACGAAAATATTTTTTCCAGTCACTTTCCACAACAAAGCTTTATAATTAATTTTTTGTGTCATGCTTCAAGATTTATTTATTTTTTGTAAAGATAAAATTTAGAATTTGGAAGAAAGTTTTATATTTTCGTTTTGAGTAAATTATTTTTAAAATTTATATCATGGAGATTGTAAACTTCCGTTGAATTTTTGTATCGTGTTGAGCACCATCACCGCCAAAATTAGTGCAGTGCTGAATGGTTTATCATCAAATTGTTTTGAAAACAGTTAATTTTGTGGCATTTTATCCAACATGCCACGTTTGGAAGAATTTAAGTATCACTGTTAGGGAACTGCAACATAGCCATAAGTTCTGAGCTGACCCAGGGAAAAACATGGAAAAATATACCAAAATAAAAAAGATTGGAGAGGGTGCCTTTGGAAAAGCTATCTTGGTCAGAAAAAAGAATGATGGGAAACAATTTGTTATTAAAGAAATCAATATACAAAAGGTACATTGGTAATAAGATACTAATTCTTTCATTTTACTATGAATCATAGTATGATCTTGGTCAAATTGGTGTCCATATTTTGATGCTCTAACTTGGTCTTTTGAGCTAGGGATTTAGTGAGTTACTGCTGCCCTGCATATAAAATTATATATTATAAGTTATCCACTTGTTGTGAGTAGGATAGCTCTTTTATCGTGCTTGTGACAGGAACTGTTCCCAGAGATGGATCATTCAACAGTGGAAAAGTTCCTGTCTAGCTGAAAAACTGAAGCGTTATGGCTTTATATATCATTTTAGTCTTTGACCATAATGCTACAGATCTCATAATGTAAAATAATGTGCATTTTTTACACAGTTTGGGAGAATTTCTCGCCTTTCCAGCATTGTTCAATCAACTACCAGGGTTCCTTTCACTCCCAAATTCTAGACACATTTTTTAACCAACCTGTGTAGTAATATTATAATTCACCTCCCAACCCTTTAAAGTCATCTCTACAGACCAATAAACTCACAGAAAATTCAAATTTGCATTATGGGATATGTAGTGTTACGATCAAAGACTAAAATATAAAACCATAGCACTACAATTCTGTAGCTAGTTCGATCCTTTCAAGTTTTTGATGGAAAAGCTTGCCCACTAAGTCTGTAGATAAGAGTTTTATTGTACCGATATGTAATATAATTTCTGATGGTTGGATAGGACATGTATACCCATGGAAATAGTGGAACTCTTCAATGTTGAGGAAGTTAACTAATCATATTGCAGGAAATCAAACTTGGTGTCAAAAGTCAAATGAAAATTTCTGAGGAGTGCATAGAAGTGAATCCCTTGTGTATATATTTTCTATACATAAAATTTATCAAGCTAAAAAATTATTCATTTTAACTTCTTAACTTCATATATGAAATTTTTTAAGAAAAGAATAATTATATAATTCATTGTAAACATATTAAACTTGAGCCATTTTTTAAAGCGTGATACATGTATAGAGCTGATTATTCACAATAATATTTTTAGCTTGATAAAATGTTTATGAGTAATATTTTGCTTTTATTTGCAGATGAGTCCAAAAGAAAGACAGGATTCCAAAAAAGAAGTAAGTTTTGTTATCGACCAAAATTACCTTCATTTTACATAATCACTTTACATTTAGAATTTGAATGTTAAAGTTCGTAAACCTGTGCATTAGTAATGCATCATGTGCATACCAGCATATTTTTTCCATGACAATGTAAGTGTTAAAAAATGAATATTTTTTTTTTGCGTTATGTAAAACGTTTTTGTATTGTAATGGAAACATACGTTTGCAACTGACATCTCTTGTGATATTTTAGAAAATTTCATAATATGTAGCAATTTGATATGCTGGAAAATTAAGAAAAGTTAATTAAAAGTTGACACTCAATCCTTTTAATCATACAGATTTTTTGCATTGTAATTATATAGGTTGCAGTGCTGGCACAGCTGAGTCACCCTAACATTGTGACGTACAGGGAGTCTTTTGAAGGTACATGAATTCTTTTTTATAATACAGTCAAATTTCAGCATCTAAAACACAGATATCTCATTACATGTATCATGGAAATATCAAAGTGATTTTTTAAGTCCCAACCCCTTATTACTGAATTATTTTGTCTTTGATACCATGAATCCTTTGATTTTTTGAAGTGTTTCACTTGGTCCAATTGAGTTAGAGATAACAAGGTTTGACTGTGCATGTATAATAAAGTATGCTAGTTGTGTTGTCTAACATAGTTCAAGGATATTTGTCTTAATTATTAATGTCTGTATTTTTGTAGAAATTGGAAGCCTATACATAGTCATGGACTTCTGTGAGAAAGGTAAGAACAGAATTTTATGACAGCAAATAAATGTACACACTTTTCTTTATTTTGATTATAAATAAAAAGTTGTGTAATGCATACCGTAATTCTGGAAATTTTTGCTGTAGGTAAATTTTTAGCAAATTTGCGAGTTCATTGCATTCGCAAAAATATTTTTCTTAAAAATAAATTACCAATAGGAAAATGTAAACAAAGCAAAGGTCATTCGCAAAATTTTTAAACGTAAAAATTAATCAACAGCAATAGGAACATGTAAACAAAGCAAAGGTCATTCGCAAAATTTTGAAACATAAAAATTAATCAACAGCATTTTGACCCGAATTCGCAAAATAAAATCGACGTAAAAATTTCCAGATTTACGGTATGCTATAATTTTCCAAAATCTTCCAAATTCAAATGTAAATTTGAAGCCCCTATAAGAAAATTAAGTTTTTTTAAATTATGTTGTCTTATCCCAAATATTGTACAATTTAATTTACCCAATGTACTGGTATATCACACCATGCAGTGGCATCAAGATTTCGTAAGTTTTACTGCTTTTATTTGAAAAGTCGAAGGATTAATTTTTCCGTCAATATTTAGGTGATCTCTACAGCAAAATTAATGGACAGAGAGGAATCTTATTTCCAGAGGAACAGGTATAAAACAGAAAACAGTCTGATTGCATTTCACTTGAAAAATCAAGCACCTTTTTCTCGAAAGTGGAAATGCTTTTTTTTTCTGTTTTTTCCTATGCAGGTTTTGGACTGGTTTGTTCAAATCTGCCTTGCAATAAAACACATCCATGACCGAAAAATCTTACACAGAGACATCAAGTCACAGGTGAGATCTAAATTTTATGTTTGTTTGTATGTAAAAAAGGAAAGTAACATATAAATAATTTGGTTTTACATGCTTGTATACTTGTAAATATCTTTATGCCTTTATAGAAGATTTACAATAGAGTACTGTAAATCACTTTTTATTCGCGAGAACTTTATTTTCACGTAATTACGCGAGACAGTGTGCTCGCTAAAATTTAATTATCGCGTATAATTGCATTCCTTAAGATTATATAGAGCAATAACCACAATGCGTGAAAATTTTGTCTCACTAATCAAGAGTCAATGACTATCTTGCGAAAATAAGGTGTCGCGAAAATTAAGTGATCTACAGTATTTTTCAATTGTTTTTGAATATAAAATCTTTGTGAATAAAATGACCAAATTTATTAATAATTTAAAACAACTTTTGCAGAACATCTTTTTATCAGCTGATGGATCAGTAAAGTTAGGAGATTTTGGAATAGCCAAAGTCCTAGGAAGGTACTGGGGAATTTTTATTCATTTTGAAGCTCAAATGATGTTTATACATGAATAAAGGTCTGAATATGATGTACCAGATACATGTATTATGTTTGTTTTTCCTCAGTACTGCAGAGTTAGCCAGGACATGCATAGGAACCCCTTACTATCTGTCTCCAGAAATTGTAGAAAACAGGCCTTACAACAATAAAAGGTATGACAACAGAAATTTTACTCACTGCAGTAATGAAATGCCTGAAATTATGACATTCTATATCCATTAAAACATGGTTATAGCACACAGGCTTATAAGTTAAGTGACACTTATAGCAAAGGGATTTTTATTCCCTGTGGTTTTAAAATGTATTGTAAATTATCAGATACATAAACAGTATAATGAATAACATTTTGCAAAGCAAAATTGTCCCTAGCACTTTGGTTATAAATGTGTTTTACTGTATATTTAAACTGCAACATTGGTTGTTTTGCTACTAAACTACAGTGTAGAGTTGGTTTTATTTTTCAGTGATATATGGTCCTTAGGATGTGTGTTGTATGAAATGGCAACATTGAAACATGCTGTAAGTTTTGTAAAACATATTTATTTGTCTGGAATATTTATTTTAATGCTTTTACCCCTTTTAGCCAATAATAATACATGTATTATAGAGGAATATTGCTCTTTCTATCAATGATTAGAAAAAAGCCAATAGGGCTTTATTGAATTACTGTCTTTAAATGTATTGGGGGGGGGGCTCCCTTTTTAATGTACAAATTACAAACGACCAACTGATTTTTAAAATTGATAGAGTAACTTTATTTTGTACAGTTTGAAGCTGGGAACATGAAAAATTTAGTATTAAAGATTATTAGGTAAGTATGCAGAGTTAATTCTGACAGGTTAAATTAGGGATTCTTTGCTTGAAATGTTCATATTTTTTAATGCATCTGTTTTTTTAGTTATAAGCAGTTATTGAATTCAAAAATGCTTAGTGAAACATATTTTTTCTTAACAGCTCCTACAATGTACATGTACGTGTTAATGTATCTTGTAGTGCATTATAGGTGGAAAAAGGTATTTAAAGAAAAATAGTATTCATATATTTCTATTTTCAGAGGGTCTTACCCACCAATTTCTCCAAAGTACAGCTATGATCTCCGAGGCCTTATTGCTCAGCTGTTTAAACGGGCTCCAAAGTAGGTCTTATTTACTATATCATTCATTATCATGCTTCCTGTTAGCCTGTTCCTATGTACATATTTGATATCCTATTTTCAAGCATTATTCAATATAGGCTAAGAGCACTATCTCATAATAGTACATGCTTATTCATTGACCTGTTGTGTTATATTTATATAATAGTGTTGTGTTTTGCGTGCACTATGCCTAAATAGTAGTCAGGGTTTGACACATAGTGCACTCGCCGGATTATGCTGACTGTTGTTACTGTATAAAAACGGCAATATTTTCTCCATTCCCAGTGTTTCATCACCTGTTACATTCGTCTACTCTATTATGAGTCACCTTGTGCAACATGTACGTCATAATCTTTTTCTTTAAATTTGAACGTTCCATGCTTTAGGTAAAATCTATAGATAGTTTTAGAGAATAGTATTTGAGTGAAGGAGGGGGGGGGTTGCAAGAAACTATTTTAGAATAATTATTTTGTTTAATTTTAATCTTAAGTGTAAAATATTTGAAAGTAAGTTTATATATATATCATTAGGGGTGGGACGATACACACATCTTGCGATACGATAGTGATATATTTTCATACGTATCCGATATTATGAGAAATTATAAAACTATTCAAAAAAATTAGTATTTTATTTCTTTTTTTTTTTTTTTTGTCTTGATATTAATTAAATAAACAAATTATTCTATATCAAGTCATGTTTGCTTTGAAATTAATACTTGAAGTACATCAATTTAATTGACTAAAACTTTACAGAAACATTAATACATGTACATACTATAACCAAATTACTATTCAGAAGTTGTTTAGAAATAGTTGTGTAGTTTATCAGAGAACACTGACTAAAAATTCATTTAAAAAACATCGATCACATTAACATTTTTATTATTCATTGCCGAAACTATTTTAGAATAAGTTATTTTGACTAACAATTAATAATATCAAATTTTATTTTCTGTGTATAGCACGCATTACAGTGTCCAAAAATCTTAGGCTGCTTAAAAGTAAAAACATTTTACCCCTAACCAACGACTTATTAGTTCTAAAGTATATATATATACAAGCCGCCATTTTCCAAGGACAGGTACTTTCATTTTCAATTTTTGGATAGGTCGTTCGTGTATCGTTTCGTACCGATATTTGAATGCTTGTATCGAAAACCGTATCTTGGAGGAAAATATCGAAATGTATCGGTGTATCGGTATATCGTCCCACCCCTATATATCATAGTACAATACTATAGATAACGGCATCTGTGGCGTAATCGGTAGCGCGTCGGACTCACAATCTTGGGGTTGAGAGTTCGCCCCTGGTATGGGCGTTGTCGGATTTTCTTAAAAAATGGACGCCGTGCACTATTTCAGGATAGTATGCTTACGCTATATAAATCCTTAGAACACTATGCGAGAATAGTAGGGTATTGGTTATATAGAGACAAACTGACAGGAAGCATAATAATTCTTTATATATAAAGATGTTGTATTGGCATATCCCTGACTACTTTTTTCAAGTTATTCAAAATCAAAGATGCTTTATAACAATGGTTATGTTACTGCAATTCTGGAACAAAATTCTTGACAATAACCTGACAGTAATCAGAATTGATAAATATGTATTAATTAACACTGTACACTATATATCTATAAATTAGATCATGTAAACAGTGCCTGATGATATTTTTTGTGTAGGGAGAGACCCTCTATAAACTCAGTTTTAAAGAAGCCTTTTGTGCAGAAGAGGGTTTCAAAATTCCTCACAGAAGAGGTAAGTTGCAAAACACCAAATACTTTTTTGTACCTCTTAATTACATGTGTACATGTACATGTATTTTATTTGCATTAAAAATCTGCATTTTAGCAAAGTTACTATTGATATTTAGTTATTAATAGTAATTACACATTGTATCATAGGTAATTGCTGATGAGTTCAGTCATACTGTTATGCATGGACACAAACTGGCCAGGGAATTACCGCCTCCCCCAAAAGCTTCGAAACCCCCAGCACGTAAGACAGTATCAACATACTTTAAATTGCAGTATTGCATGCCTAAATTAAAGTAAAAAAAACAAGCATATTTGTAATTTATCGGGAACTATGAAGGTGCTTTGAACTTGCATCAATTTCATTCTCAGCAAGAAAAGCCACTCCAGCCAAGACTCCCCGGTATAACCCTGCCAGTGTGTATGGAGCTCCTATAGTAAGGAAGTCACAAGAAAAAAGGTAAGCCAAAATCAATTTCCATAATATGTATGTAAATTTTATAATGCCATTTGTTTTGGTCAGAATATGTTATTGCAATGCAAATGTACATTGCATAAAAGAGGTTTGCATTGATTGTTGTGGATGATTTTCAGACAATCAGCTGATAAGAAGCGCCCAGGCAGTGGAGGCCCACCCAGGCCAGGAAGTGCAGCCAGCAGGCCAGGAAGTGCCCAGGGCATGAGGCCTTCTAACAGTAACCAGGTAAAAAAAAGGGGCAAAAATAGGGCTTAAATTAACTTGAGTATTTCATGCAAAAAAATATCCCCACTTGTTAATATTTTTCCTTATTAATAAAAAAGTCATACAGTTTTATTGCTTTCTAAGGATTTAAGAAAGAAAAGACAAGAATTAATGGATAAAGAAAAGAAAAGGCAAGAAGAAAAGGTAAAAAGGCATTTTAGAATACTGTGAATTTATGTGATATTGTTCCCAGGATTTGAGGTAGAATATTGCACAAGAGAATACAAGATTATAAAATGTAATTTTATAATTTAGAGGTTTCAAGCAAAATATTTTTTTTTAAGTTTTGACAATATATGTATAAATATTTAAATTTTAAAACAGGTTGCAGCAGAAAAACGACATAAAGATCTGATGGAGAAACAGAGGGTAAGCTTTAATTTTAGTGACCAAAGTTTTCCTTATTTCAGACAGAAGATTTCTTTGTTTACATTTATGTATCCTTGGTATTCAAGCAACTGATGTTTGAGATACCAGAATTTACCTTAACTTTATTTATATTGTAGATTGCACGCATGAACAAAGCCAGAGAGGAGGGATGGAAGAATTTAATGGGATCTATAGGATCTGATGAAGGAGATGTGAGTTAAATGTTTACTTGTACGTTATCTGAATAATAAAAGACACATTTATTATTGTCAGTCATTGAATGTGCTGTAAATCCTAAAACATGTACATGTAATGATGTATCCCAGACAAGGTTTCTTTTATTAGAATAATTTATAAACTTTTACCTTTAGAAGGACAAGAATAGAGTCAAGGAGCAGCCCAAGGAACAAGTCAAGTGGCCCCCTCCTAATGTAAGTTTTACTCTACAGAAATTAATTATCTTTAGGCCATAATAAAAATATTCCTAGATTCTCATCCCCGCCCGCCCCGATTTTATACCCCTGCCTCGATTTTTTTTATTTCTGTTTTTCTTCATCTTAATTCTGATCGGGATCGGTATTCATCTTCCATTCTACTTTCGTTTTAAATCCCGCGAAAGTCGACATGATTTTGACAGCTGAAAAGATGGTAATTGCTGTAATACATATGCGTATATATTTTAAACAAGGGTCATTGGTTGAAAAAGATTGGTGATGATGTGAAGTAAGAGATAATTGGACCTTTTACAATGACTTTTATTCGGGTATTGTAGATAGAATTACACCGATTGACCAGGTCAATAAAAAATCTGCAAAATTGAAAAAATAAAAAATATAAAATAAAAGCCGCCCACCCGCCTCGATTTAAAAAAAAATTCGGATGAGAATCTAGCAATATATTTATTATGGCCTTAATGTAGAAATTTTGTATGTGGTCACTTTTTCACTATTATTGTCCAGCAGCCGGCTGGGGATAAGGAGAGAGGGAAGTATGACCAGTATCACGCTTACCTGGACAAACTCCAGAATGAGAGAGACCAGAGACAAAACAACCCAAAACCAGGTATCTAATGTAAACAAATCTGAAATTGTTTGAAAAGTTTTTCATGATGTAAAATGTCTTTCATAATTAATAACAAAACTCACATGTCCTCAGTTTTCATTACAGTTTTTCAATGTTCCTAAAATAATGTTTTGAAAGTTTCCAAAGATAATTTTGTTCGTATCTTATTCATAAAAACTAGCTTAATCTGTTAAGGTCTGGCTAAAGATACAAACAGTTTTAATCCCATTGATTTAGTAGGTAACAATGCTGCAGCTTACATGGCGGCACCAAGAGTAGTGGATCCCTCTAAGGCAATCCCTAACTGGAAACGACCGGGAGGCGGCAATGTCCCAGCACCCACCCCAGTTTACCAGCCACCCAATCCTAACAGGTATGTCACTTATAAATAAACCACTGGATAAAGCTCTAGCATGGTGGACCACTTCATCTGATACAACAGACAGGTTAAGGTAAATTGGCGCAGTTAAACATACTCATAACAAAAGAGCAGCAAATATGCTTTTAAGAAAGTTTGGAGTAAGAAAGTTTATAATGAAATTTTATGTCCTATGTATTAAATATGACCAGCAGATATACTAAAATTTTTAAAGAAGTTAGTCCTGTAGAAATAGATTGATTGATTTGAATATTTCATTAACAGGAATATGGGGATGAACAACCAGGCAGAAGAGAGAGCTAAAATTGTCCAGGACTTTGTACAGAGAAGAAAAGAGGCAGCAATTAATAAAAACAGGGGACAGGCAGACATCTTTGGAGTAAGTGACATAAGTTTTACCAACTGTGCACATTTGTTGATTTTCTACCTGAAGATATGCTCAAAAATATATTAAGTGAAACTCCTGGTTTGTTCATTAAAATCCCCAAATGAAATTCTGTAGATGTAATAAGATTTAATTTGTTCACTTTATGGCTCATTTTGAGATTCATGTATCTATTCCAAACTATCACAAGTGGTATTGAAACCAATCCGTTTATTAAAACTATTGATGCTAGATTTGATATATGCATGGAATGTCACTTACATGTACAATTTTTGGTTAATTAATTTTAAAATTTATGCCTCTTAAGACTATCGTGAAATTCATTTACCATGTAAACTCAATGTGCAAACATGTACCGTATGAGTGGAAATTTTAGTGTGATGCAAATTTAGCGATTTGGCCTTAAAAATTGGTATTTCATTTTTAGCAAGATGTAATTTTAGCAATTTTAAAAAGCTCACTAAAGATGTTATTACAAATAAAGCACAATTAATTTTTAGCAATATTCAATTTTAGCTATCTTGGCACCCTCACTAAAATTGCCAAAATTAAATCCTTGCTAAAAATTCTGCTTATAGTATTATTGTCACTTCTGGTGTATCTAACAAACAGTTTGAGTTACTCGGGGTAGAACAATGTTCATATTACTTTTTTTCTACACATTGTTTCTTATTTTATTGTCAGAATGCTAGATCCTATGATCCAACACCCCAACAAAATCCAGCTTACAACGATCAACGGCCAGGATCTGCCCGCAACAGAGAGGAACAGGTATTCTAAATGGATTTTAAAAAATCATTTTATGAAAGAAATATACATGTATGTTTCAATACCAAAGGCAACTATTGGCAAATTTTATTCAAAATTTATATTTTTTAAAACTTTGGATGGTCTTTTGTTGGCTACACACATAAAGAAAATTGCATTTTTTTAAAGGAGTATTTAGAGAAGCTACGACAGATCCGAGAACACAATTATCAGGAGAGACGTAATGTTATGGGTAGAAATAAAAATCAGGTAAGAAGCAAGAAGTCGTTGATCTGGTGTAACAAATGATTTCCATGGCTTTCAGAATTTTAGTGAAATTGCTTTTTATGGCCATTTGATGAGTTTTTCGAAGTTTGATTGCACCACAGAAATTTTACAGAAAAGAAACTGAATAGGCACAGAAACTAGCAAATTTATGAATATCATCCTTTTAATTCATCACTTAAATTCATGTATCACTGGCGAATGAAATCAGACAAATGATGATATAGTTGATTGAATATGATTATGAATATATCATACCATATAGCAGTTAGACTTTGTTATCACATCTTAAACAGGAAGCTCAGGAACAAGCCAGGAAGGATGCTGAACTACGAAGACAAAAGATAGAGGCTCTCAGGGTAATATAAGAGCTGCTGTGAAAGAAGCATAAATTTTGGATCATTATGGAGTTTTGATTTTTATTCTCTTCATGGCATGAAAAGACTCATGGATGAATGTCTTCCATAGAATCTGAAAAATTGAAACAAAAATATTATATTTGTGGACAATACTTCTTTAACCACAAAATTAAATTCCATAAAAGCTAATATTTTTTCCTCAACAATATAAATTTGATCCAACAAAAAATGGGTCATTTCACAAAAGCTAAAGAAAAGCTGGGAAAATATTGATTACTAATAAGTGGAAATGAAAATACATATATTATATGATTGATTTTTATTATATATATACATTTTTGATTGAATAGCAACAAGCAGATGACAGGGCAAGGATGCTGAGAGAACAGTTGGATAAAGACAGAAAAGAATTGTTTGAAAAGGAGAAACGTTTAAGAGAGCTTGGCAAACCACCAGTAAGTGCTGCAAAATCTGCTGTTAAAAAAATAAAAAAATAGTCTACACAGTATTTCAAACTATAATTGATTCATTGTTCAATTAAGTTGGTCTGAATGCAATATTTTAAAAAATGCTTCAAAATGATGAAAACTAGTTAAACATGAGCTGCTTATGTGCCTTGCATTAAAGAGCATATGATTTCCATGTTTTTACTCTCCTGATTTTGAAGTCAATGGGTAATGCCTAATTGTTTCAGATAATTAGAAAATCCAAGGTCAAAAATAACTGCATTTTCTTTGTAGGTTCAAGCAAGACCAGGAAGGTAGGATGATTTGGAATTTTGAACAAATTTCAAATCTACTGCAAGTAAATTAACAGTGTCTGAATTATGTGCTGTAAGAAGGGGCCTTTTAAATTTCTTTCTAAGAAGTCACTAATGTTATACCTGACCAGAACTCTATGGAATTTTTGCTTTAATTAAATTACTTACTTGTACTAATACACAAATATTCAAGTTTGTGAAAGACAGGTTGACTGGACATGTGTTTTGTTTGTTTTTTTTTTCAAAAGTGTTTTATCGGTCTTAAAATTGATTTGATAAATACTTGTACCTTGTGCTTGTATACATTTGTACAGAAATAACTCTTGATTAAATTTCAACAACATCCCTGACACACCTTATTCAAGATGGAAGATGCAATCTCATTTGATACAAATATTATTAAAAATTTATTTCTATCAGGCCACTACCCATGCCCCCCAAACCTCAGATGACCCCAGCACCCGCCGTCTCTGTGACCGGGGTCCTCAATGCCATCGGAGCGGAATCTCCCAAACCGATTCCCATGGAGCCTTCCAGCCCTGCGGGGATGACAAGTGTTCTCAGTGCCATAGGAGCCAAACAGACTGACAACAAAGAAGAGGCTCAGAAGTAAGTAGAATACATTTTGGATAAACTCTACATAGCAAAACAGAGTTTTGCACTTAGTATTTGGCTTTATATACACAGTACTCAGTAATATGTGAATCACAGACAAAACTCAAGTCTGGCCAGTATAAGAAAAAATATAACTGGATGTTTCATAGTGAAAAATAATCAAAGGTTTACTTGATTAGATATCATTCTTTGCTTCTGTTTCAGAACCCCAGATCAGCTAAAGAAAGATGAAATTTTAAAGCGCTTAAATGAAAAGGTAAAAATGACATTTTTTTCTAAATAACATTAATTTTTTTATAATACTTCTTGACAGGAAATCAATGTTTTCAATATTTATCAGGGACCACCCAAAGGTAAATGGGGAAAACCAGAGAAGCCAGAAATTGCTGAAGAAAAGTCACCACCGGAGTCCGCCAGGTCACAGTGGGGTCAGGGTGATGGCGCCAACATATCAAATTTACCACTTGAGCAGACGGCATCTCAGATGGAGGGTTTGTCTTAAAATGCTTTACTTTTTGTTGTCAAAGGGAGTTAGCATTGCAAGAAAAAGTTATTTTTTCACATTAGCAGAGGAACATACTGTAGAAACACAAATTTTCCTGGGGATCAAATTTTGTTGATTTGTTATTTGAAATGGTTTTGTAGGCATTAAATTTCATTGTTTCGAAAGTTACTATATTCAAAACATAGTCATTGGAAAATTTCTTGTGGGATTTAATTTTGTTGATAATTGTTAACAATGAAATTTAATTCCCAACAAAATTTTCTACTTTTACAGTATATGTTGTCCTCAATGAATCTTAGATTCAGGTTTTTACTTTTCACTTCATTGATTTCAAATTTTATTCAATGAATATGTGATTTATCTCTTTTGAAGTATAAATTCACTGTTGAAAGATTGTGAATTATTTCTATGCAACAAGGACAATTAGCAGTGGATATCTGATTTTTTTTTCTGTAGCTACATCTGCTAGAGATCAAGTTGTGAAGCATCCTGTTTCTGGGGGTGGAGATTCCAAACCACAACCACCAGAGAAGAAATGGGGAGGCCCCAGTAATACTTTGATGAAAATTCTGGAGGGTAGGCCTGGGGAAGAGGTGGCTGAGGATGTCAAGGACAAGCCAAAGGTCCCAGAGAAGAAGAAATGGGGTGGACCAAGCAACACACTGCTTAATGCCCTGGAAAACAAACCTGTGGTGGCTGGAACACTGTCAGGGGGATCAAGTGGTAATTTATTTATTTTTGTTCAGAAGTCAAGACTGGTATGAAATGATATTATGGTTTAAATGTTCCTTTCGATTAAGAACAAGATGAAGTTCAATATCAAGTCGAAGTCATGTTAAGAGGTTAAGGTCAAATACACAATTTGCCCTCACTATGATTATTATTTGAAATGTATGTACAGCTGTATGTGAAAGTATTTATTTTTTTTAAATTCCTTTCTGTTTTAAATTATTATTTGAGCATTATTCTTGAGTTTAAATGTATCATCAAAACTTTGTAATCAACAGAATCTGCCCCCAGTCCAGAGGCCACTACCTCTGCTACACCCTCGGGGTCTGCCACCATCACAATATCTAAACCCCCAGTGATCCCCATCAAACCAGGTACCATCACCATCAGCAAGCAGGGCCCCCCAAAAGGTAAGAACACCACTCACCCAGCACTCTTCCGTGTTTACATTGTAACATTTACACATTTCTTGATTATCTTCTCGATGTAGTGCTACACGGAATTCAGTTCTCAGATTTCTATGTTGTATAAATATTCATTTTTCTGAAATTAGAATCTTTTCTCTATCTTCACTGCTATAATTTTCCTCACCTATTAACAGTATCTGTTAGATTTTAACACAGAAAACTTTATCATTTTGATTAGAAGGGGCAGCTATAGGAGCTACCATTACTGTAGATAAACCGGTGATTGTAAAGGGACAAGTACTGCCCTCTTCAGGTAATTTCTGCCGAATAGTGTGATGGGTGTAACTAAAAGAGGATGAAATTACTGTATTTAAATTTAGAGGTGATGGGTATTACCTGAAATAAAAAAAAAAGATGGAAAGGGAGTTAATCATTTTTAGCTCACCTGAGCCGAAGGCTCAAGTGAGCTTTTCTGATCAAAATTTGTCCGTTGTCTGTCGTCGTAGTCGTTGTCGTCGTAGTCGTCGTTGTCGTCGTAGTCGTTGTTGTCGTTGTAAACTTTTCGCATTTTCATCTTCTTCTCAAGAACCACTGGGCCAATTTCAACCAAACTTGCCACAAAGTATCCTTGGGTGAAGGGGATTCAAGTTTGTTCAAATGAAGGGCCACGCCCTTTTCCAAGGGGAGATAATCATGAATAAGAGAAAAATTATTGGCATTTTTAAAAAATCTTCTTCTCAAGAACCACTGGGCCAGGAAAGATGAAACTCATGTGGAATCATCCTCAGGTAGTGTAGATTCAAGTTTGTTCAAGTCATGACCCCCTGGGGTAGGGTGGGACCAAAATGGCCGATCAAAGTTTTACATAGGAATATATAGGAAAAATCTTTAAAAATCTTCTACTCAAGAACCACTGGGCCAGGAAAGATGAAACTCATGTGGAATCATCCTCAGGTAGTGTAGATTCAAGTTTGTTCAAGTCATGACCCCCCGGGGTAGGGCGGGGCCAAAATGGCCGATCAAAGTTTTACATAGGAATATATAGGAAAAATCTTTAAAAATCTTCTTCTCAAGAACCACTGGGCCAGGAAAGATGAAACTCATGTGGAATCACCCTCAGGTAGTGTAGATTCAAGTTTGTTCAATTCATGACCCCTGGGGGTAGGGCGGGGCCAAAATGGCCGATCAAAGTTTTACATAGGAATATATAGGAAAAATCTTTAAAAATCTTCTTCTCAGGAACCACTGGGCCAGGAAAGATGAAACTCATGTGGAATCATCCTCAGGTAGTGTAGATTCAAATTTGTTCAAGTCATGACCCCCCAGGGTAGGGCGGGGCGAAAATGGCCGATCAAAGTTTTACATAGGAATATATAGGAAAAATCTTTAAAAATCGTCTTCTCAAGAACCACTGGGCCAGGAAAGATGAAACTCATGTGGAATCATCCTCAGGTAGTGTAGATTCAAGTTTGTTCAAGTCATGACCCATGGGGGTAGGGCAGGGCCAAAATGGCCGATCAAAATTTTACATAGGAATATATAGGAAAAATCTTTAAAAATCTTCTTCTCAGGAACCACTGGGCCAGGAAAGATGAAACTCATGTGGAATCATCCTCAGGTAATGTAGATTCAAGTTTGTTCAAGTCATGACCCCCGGGGGTAGGGCGGGGCCAAAATGGCGGATCAAAGTTTTATATAGGAATATATAGGAAAAATTTTTTAAAATGTTCTTCTCAGGAACCACTGGGCCAGGAAAGATGAAACTCATGTGGAATCATCCTCAGGTAGTGTAGATTCAAGTTTGTTCAAGTCATGACCCCCTTTGGTAGGGCGGGGCCAAAATGGATGATCAAAGTTTTACATAGGAATATATAGGAAAATTTTTTTAAAATTTTCTTCTCAGGAACCACTGGGCCAGGAACGATGAAACTCATGTGGAATCATCCTCAGGTAGTATAGATTCAAATTTGTTCAAATGATGACCCCCGGGGGTAGGGCGGGGCCAAAATGGCCGACCAAAGTTTTACATAGAAATATATAGGGAAACTTTTTAAAATCTTTTCAAGCACTTCAAAGCCATGATTAGTAATATTTATATGGAATCATCCTCAGGTAATGTAGATTCTAGTTCGTTCAAATTATGATCCCCTTCGGGGTTAAAATTCAAGCCCTCCCCCCCCCCCCCCCCCACTTAAGTTAACTTACAGTTCTGATCTGATATGTGTTTTTTTCCTAGCTGATGTGCTCAGGTGAGCGCTGTGGCCCCTGGGCCTCTTGTTGTTTTGGGAATGGTTCTTGCATATTGTACATGTAAATTCAATCATTACCTGCATGTATTCATGGCAGTATGTGGAACTAAGTTCACAAATTTTTTATTTGAAATGTCTAAAATACAACAAGAGTTATTAAATACAAAAAGAGTTTACAAACTACTGTATTATCGTCAATAGATGCAGTTAGGGCTAGGGCAAACTTGAAGCTACCTAGGGTGATGGAATAATATCTTTCAATTGCTGTAGATTCCTTATATGAAATGGGGTCTTAATATTGCAAATGACTTGAATAGGTTAATTCATGTCATGAATTTGAAAAAGGACTTTTGATGGAGTGTTAAATCTTAAATGTATTTCTGTAAAATTTGGGACCATGTATATTGCATAATTTAATCCCATGCAGAAAAAAGGATGTCTACAATGATTTATAAATACCTCCCATAAATTTAGGAATCTACGGTAGTTGTTATTTTCTAAATCTCTTTTTTTGTTCATTTTATGTTGCATGTGAATGTATTTTGTAAATTTGTCTCCCACACTAACAGATGAAAATCCAGATTCAGCCAATCAAGAATCAGAAAGTAAAACTGCCACGGAGAAAACTGACCAATCAGAGAGCACTGAGAAAACAAATTCTGAGAGTGATAAACTCAGTGATGATCAAACTAAGTGTGTTGATAAACCTCCACTTCCATCCAAACCGGTTGTTTTACCAAAACCGGTCATGTTACCGAAACCAGATACACCTATGCAGTTTGGTTAGTTTTTAGCTGCTTTTTAGTTCTGTTATTAGACGCTCTTTTTTATGTTATATTATAAAGTACAGTCACTTTTTTTTCTCAAAATCAAAAAGACAAGAAAAAAATTATCAGATTTCTAAGGATTCTAGATATTGAACACAATGAAAGTTGAAATATTAAAAACAAATGTGATTTCAAACACACTTCAGCATATCCATGGTATTTAAGATATCAGTTTTCAAGATATTGAAGTTATACTGTGACAGGTTCTTTTTATTCTCAATATATTATTTAGGGTTTTAAAAAATTGTCTCTGCAGTAGTCATAGAATTATAGCATGCTTTAAGGAGTAGGACCCACCTCAAAGAGAGATAACTGTTACAAAATTGAAAAATTGCAATTAGTTCATAATATTTTAATCTTTAGTAATAATTTGTTTCAAATTTTGCTATGCACTGTGTCCTAGATTTGTTTCATTTTGATATCAATCTTGTTTGAAATTTATCATCTTCAGGTTTATACTAAAAAATTCTATTTGTGTATTGAGGGCAGAGAGCTGTTTGGTTGCTTTTAAAGTGTGTTTATTTTGTAAACATGCATGTGGTTTTTGTGCATGAATATTTTTAAAACCAGTTTATTTCTATTAACTTAATGGGGTCAGACATTTTTGAGTTTTTAGTACTTCAGTCCTTTGATTTTTTAGCATCCTGGTCATTGTTATGTTTTGTTACAGGAGACACAGACAAGGTTCCTGAGGCTGCTAAAACTGAGGGAGCCGGAAGCTTGTTCACAAAACCAAAAACTGAAAGTAAACCAGATAAAGTGGAAACGGAGGAATCCAAGAAAGAAGAATCAAAAGAACAGATGTAAGTCCAGAAGTAAAATGCAAGAAAACTGCACTTATATGTGAATTTTTACCCCATGTAAATTTTGCCGATGTGCAAGAGAAAATTATTTCACTCCATTTTGAATTGTCCATTGATGTTTTTCTGCATCATTCATTATAACTAAACTGGGATAAAAATGTTTACTGCAGGTATACCTGCAGTAAGCATTTTTAATCCCCAGTTTAGCTATATCCCCTTACTCCAGGTGAAATTTTTCCATTAGTTGTAAAATGATTATGTAAGTCTAATTTGACTGCATGTTTCAGCTTACATCATTTTATCTCCTTTTGATTATGGAATTTTTTTTCTGTTGTACCTTGTAGTAAGAAGCAAAATTCTGGTGTAATTCTTGGGATCACTTGTGGACAGTTTGACATAAGAAATGCTCAGGTAGCTATCGAAATCATTTTAACATTTTGTGACAAATTTGTTGTATAAAGTAATATTACCATTGCATTCAACCAATGACACTCAAAAATAAGAGGATCTTCCTCTAAAAAATAAAATGTCAAGTTTTACTCTGATTAATCTTATTTTTCATTTTCATAATGAAACTTATATTGTTTTACAATTTTTTGGTGACTTTCAGATGTTACGTACTTGCTCTGATCCTGACCTTCCTCATCTGATGCGTACAGCGGAAAGCACGAATATTGTCAAAAGAACCAGAAGACATAGTCTAGACCTAGAGAAATTAAAGACAGAGGTAATTTATACATTGATATTTGTAGGGTAATCATGATTTACCCAAATCTTGTACAGGTTAATATGAGTGAAGTTTGAACATGATACCATAGATTCTATTTAAAGTGAGTTCTTAATATTGTGAATGGAATCTTGGGCAAAAAATTGCAAGAACATTAGATATCAAGTGGGCAGTTGATCAACAGATTTTATATATGTAGATTTCAGCACCTTAAAAATAAAAAGGAGAAATTCTATTTTGCGTTTGGTGCTTCTCTCAAAATTACGCAAAGCATGATTCCTTGCATATACATGTATTAAGGAATCTCTATTATTGTAAAACTAAAAAGCTTCTATAAACATGATAATATACTCAATGATTGAACTGTAGGAGGAGGAGTTAGTGAAGTGTCTGCTTGCCAATGTCAGTTTGGAGGAGGACAGTGAGTACAAGAGTCCTGATCAGCCCCTCAGTCCCCTCAACCTGGAGGACCAGTCTCCTCAGAAAGAGGAAAATGGCAATGAGGATGAGGACAACAGCAATGAGGAGGGGTAGGTGTCAATCGATTTGAAGGAAATCAAAAATATATCCTTTTTTCTTGCAATTCAAAACTTCTTAGATCTCTGTTGCTTATCATGTTAAGTTTGCAATTTGTGGTAATCACTGCTGATTATATGTTGTTGATGGTGAATTTCAGTGATGAAGATGATGAGGACTTGATGAGTGTCAGAGAGACCATGCAGAGCTTGCTCCTCAGAGAATACAGTACAGGTAAAACTCAGACAACTCAAATTGTCTTAAAAATGTAATTAAATTATGTACATAAGATATCACTTGTATTGATACTATATGTGAAACACCAAAAGAGATGCGAGATGCAATAAAATTTTTACCAAAAATCAACTGTGTTTATCAGATGAGGACAAGAGGGCATCAGCTACACTGAATCTGACAGAGAGTAACGAGGATGACATCAGAGAATCAGGAGAGGAGGACAATGACAATCAAGGTGAAAAAAATTGATTTATTTAGAATGAATAGAAAGTTTATTTATTCCTGGTATTGTCAGATGTACATTATGCCTTGGGTAGGTCAAAAAACCCATTTATAGCATCAAGAATTCATATATTTTTACTTAGCTCAGGTAGAAAATGAATTATAATACTGTAGATCACTAAAGAACTATATGCGATATTAACCAACATTTGCCCCCCAAAATCAAACTTTGATGGAGTAATATTTAATTAAGTCCTTAAACAGGGGAGTATATGCTGACTTCAAAGCACTGAATAATTTCATAAGTAATGACGTCATATGTACGTAATGACGTCACAAATATGACGTAAATTTCAGTTTTTTATGAATTTTGCAGAAAAATGTACATATTTCGTCGATATTTTAAATAAAAGTCACCGAGCGCATGTGTGTTCAGGATAAATATTTTGATATAATGTGTAGAATGATAATATCAATGAAATATGTCAATATTGTTCCTGAACACACATGCGCTCTATAAATTTTAAAGCTTAAATTGTTGAAATTTTGTCCATTTTGTCCTCTTTCTGAAAAAGGATATAAAATCGGACTAGTTTGTGACGTCATAAAAACAGAAATTGTGAATACACTGCTCTGGAACTATAATATTTTCTGTTAACTTATATTTCTCGTACAATTTATTGAATTCAGCACATTTCAGGAAGTTTTCAAAATTTGACTTTTGTGGGGGCAAACATATGCAATATACCGCATATAGTTCTTTTCGCGACACCTTATTTTCACGTGATTGTCATTGGCTCTTAGTAAGCGAGACATAATTTTCACAAATAGTTGTCATTCCTTTATATAATCCTAAGGAATACTTTTATACACAAGAATTTAATTTTCGTGAATGCAGTGTCTCGCGTAATTACGTGAAAATAAAGTTCTCGCGAATAAAAAGTGATTTACAGTACACATGTTTAAGGACCTATATTTTATGCATATTTCGTCTTTGCTGTAGATGATGGAGATGAGGAAAAAGAAAAGTCAGTAGAGGAAGAGGAGGGAGATAATGAGGACAAGGAGGAGGAGCAGGAGGAAAATGACGAGGAGGAGGACCAGTCAGGAAATAATGAGGACCTGTTCCAGTCAGGTACATTGTAATCCTTGTATTGAATATGAATTCAAGATGAAAAGGAATATGAATAATGCAGTATACCAATTTTTAGCTCACCTGAGCCGAAGGATCAAGTGAGCTTTTCTGATCACATTTTTTCTGTAGTCCGTCTGTCTGTCTGTAAACTTTTCACATTTTCGACTTCTTCTCAAGAACCGCTGGGCCAATTTCAACCAAACTTGCCACAAAGCATCCTTGGGTGAAGGGAATTCAAGTTTCTTCAAATGAAGGGCCACACCCTCATTCAAGGGGAGATAATTGGGAATTAATAAAAATTTGGTGGCATGTTTTAAAAATCTTCTTCTCAAGAACCACTGTGCCAAGAAAGATGAAACTTATGGGAAAACATCCTCAGGAAGTGTAGATTCAAATTTGTTTAAATCATGACCCCCAGGGGTAGGGCGGGGCCACAATGGCCGACCAAAGTTTTACATAGAAATATATAGGAAAATTCTTTAAAAATCTTCTTCTCAAGAACCACTGTGCCAGGAAAGATGAAACTTATATGGAAGCATCCTCAGGTAGTGTAGATTCAAATTTGTTCAAATCATGACCCCCAGGGGTAGGTCGGGGCCACATTAGCCGACCAAACTTTTACATAGAAATATATAGGATTTTTTTTAAAAAATCTTCTTCTCAAAAATTGCAAAGCCATAATTGATCATATTTTTATGGAAACATCCTCAGGTAGTGTAGATTCAAGTTTATTTAAATCATGACACCTGGGGGTAGGGGCGGGCCAAAATTGTCGACCAAAGTTTTACATAGAAATATATAGGAAAATTCTTTAAAAATCTTCTTCTCAAGAATAGCAAAGCCATGATTGGTCATGGGATTACTTTAAGATTTAAACTTTTCAATAATAAACCAATTTCTACTTTTTTCCTAGCCACAGTGCTCAGGTGAGCGATGTGGCCCATGGGCCTCTTCTTTAAGTTGCCATTGTCTTTGAAGTTTGCAGAAAAGATCATGTCAAAGAAAAACCTATGCATTCTATAAACAATACCCTTAGTTCAATTAAACTAAAAAGTAGTTAATTAATTGTAATTATTCTAGTGAAAATTTCACTTACTGTATATATAAGGATGTTTTGACTGTTTGTATTTAAATTGAAATCCATATTTCAGATGAGAGTGATCGTGACACCCAGTTTGGGGATGATGAGGATGATTATGATTTGTTCAGTCGACTAGAGGAGTCTCGAGCAGAGCTGGAATCTGAGTTAGGATGTGAAAAATTCCTCAAAGTCTACAAGACTGTGCAGGTCTGTCTATTTTATAATGATTATTTCACAGAAAATTTGAGATACTGGTAAACAATTACATACCTAAGATAACAAGATGTAAAGCTTTTTGGGGGGAGGGGGAAAGGGGGAGAGAGAGATTCGTAGATGTGACTTTACTTGGAATTTTAAAAAATTAAAGACATTAAACATGGGGTATTAATTTTGCTGTTCTTGGAATCGACCAACCCTCAGTCCTTATGATTTAAATTAACAATGTCTTCTGGCATGTTTAACAGGCCCTTCAGGAGGATGAGGATGAGAACATTGAGGAGGGGGCCAAACTGGTGACCAAGATCCTGGGTAAAGAAAAGGAACATCTGTACCCTAAAGTGTTCCAGCTGGTCATGGCTGACGCTGCCTTTACTGAGGGTAGGTGTCACGGTAGTTATTAGGTTTGCTGACGTACACTTACAGTTCTCGCTATCAAAGAGCAAGAGATATTTCTTTGTGTGGTATTGGTGTAGAAAAGTATTAAAAATGCACTAAATTTAATTGGAGAATGAAGTGCTAGTTCATTATGTAAATTAAAATTGAAAACAACAACAACAAAAAATAAAGTTCAAGGTAACTCAAAGTAAAAGTAAAAATGTCTTTGTTACAGGACAAAATGAAAGTAGGTCATCTGAAACGTAGTAACTATCAGCACATCTGTGTTGTGTGAGCTTGTTAGTGCTATGTGTATCTCATCATACATGTAATTGTAACTACTTTTGCACTATCTGTACATGTTTATAAGAATTTGGATAACATTCCTGTCTAAAAATACGTGTAGTTTTGTTCTCTTGCTATTTGCACAAATTTCTGTAGAGTAAGGAATTAAGCACAATGTTTGATGGCCTAAGGAGAAATCTGTAGTATATCAGAACTATAGCTTACTGAAATGGAAGTTTATTTGGGATTGGACTTTTACATTACTCAGACATATCTTTATTGATACATTGTAGTATGTTACACATATTGATACATCCAGTGTTCAATATTCAGTGTATTAATGATTGTTATAATGCATGTAAATAAATACATTAAAATTAAAAAAAAAATGTTACATTCACTAAGATTTTGTTTTTACCTGATGATTTACATGTAAATTTGTATGAAACATATTATAAAAGAAATCTTTATAAATGTGATGTTTTCTTGGCAGAGAGCCTAATAATTTTATGAAATACTTTGAAAGATATACTGGTATCTGTTTTATTGCAATAAATGTCATATATATATCAAATGATACCAGTATCATAATATTGTTGTAATATGTTCTTTTATTCTTTTTTAATTACAGATAACTAATCATAAGACATTTGGACCTTGTGATAAAAGTGAAGCCTGGTGAGAAGCTGAAGACTGAATACAAGTTGAAAACTTCATATTTGAAAACTTCATATTTTGAATGTTTATTATATGTGTGATGTCATATTGACATTTTATCTATTGCCATGGTCCCATAAGTGTCTCAAGAAAGGGTTTTTTCCAAAGTCTTTTTTCTTAAACACTGGTCCGTAAATATAAATGAAAGTTCATTTTTTTTCATACAAATTAAAAATTTTTTAGCATGACATACATATGAAAGAAGTACATTTTTCGAATTAATATGAAATCAGTTAATTACTATTAAATCTGGAGTTCATCAGAAATTATATGAAAATAATGGTAATTTAACATACTTCCATTGTTTCAAGTTTAAATGGTTTACGTTATAAACAATTCTTTCTTGTGATAGAGTACAGTAGTGTATAAAAGATGCTTAAATATATTTTGTTTTCTCTCCATAATGTTCAAGTCTAGTTTGTATGTACATGTACTGTACATATATATTTATAAGTAAATCAGTATAGAAAACAGCTGTGATTCAGAAGTATTGGAATGAAAATTTTGTGAATGCAACTGAAAAACTTTTATGTGAAATGTCTTTGTTGATTGTATGTACTGTGTGCAGTACAAAATATTTGTGAATGATAAAGATCTTTCAAGACTTATGACCCAGCTTAAAGTGCAATGTTATGTGTTGTAGCTACTAACTTTTTAAGTTTTATTTATATACCCTAGTATATGAATGTACTGTAAAATTTATACAAAAAGGTTTTCCCTCTCCATATAATTATTTTTTTTTATTTTGCCAATTATCTGGAAGCACCAGATTTAGTGGATGTACAGATTGAATGTCATTTGTAACTAACAATATATTGAAAACTTGTACTGTTAATGTTATTCAAGGGTTCATTTCATACAAACCTTTAAATTTCTACATTTATAGTATGTGTACATTTGCAGAAAGGGTTGTTTTTCCAGAGTAGAGTCTGTCATAGTAGTATTTTTGTGTTTTATCTTTTTTGTGTGTAATTTGTATTTACATGATGGTTGTAAGTGTATTCTTTGTATAAGCTTGTATTATTATTTTGGTCAGCTTAGTTGTTTTTTGCAATTTTGTAATACAGTTGAACTTTGTTGTCTAGAACCTTGATATCTTGAATACCATGGATATGTCAAAATGAGTAAGCAATTCCAACTACTTTGAGATGAAGCTTTTTACTCTGGTTGTCTTGAATCATCAGCTATCTTGAAATTAAATCATTGTCCTGTCTAGTTTGAGATGTCAAAGTTTGACTGTAACTAATTCACCGTCCACTTTATTATAGCTGCCTTTTTATTTTATATTCATTTACTAATTTTCCTTTTGTTTATATTTAAGTTCACTGCTTGTCCCATAAAAAATACCTCTAGAGTGAAATGAAATTCAAGCAAGTCATTTATTTTAAGGTTGTGATTCACATGTACGTAGCCACCTAATTATATGTATATGTGTGATGTTTTGATTATTTCTGTGATTTACAGTTCAGTCAGTGCTATTTTAAAACAAGATCTAGATCATTTTACATACCATTCTAGTATTTTCACACATTCCGTCCTAAAAGTGGTGAGTACACTGAACCAGTCTTACATTTTTTTTGGGGGGGGGTGGATGGGTCAAAGTAACTATTGAAGTTTTTTTTAAAGATGTGTTTAACTAGGCATATGGAATTTATTGGTATTTCTCAGCTAATAAAACGATGTTGCTAAATATGAGCTTTCTCAAAGAGTGGTTCATTAACTAGGTGTTATACATGCATATGTTTAAGCATTATACTTTAATTCTTCATTGTGCTTTTTGTACATGTATAAGCTATTTTCAAAACAACTGCAAGACTAAACAATAGTAATGTATTATCTTCTTTATTTCCTTTATCTTCATGTGAATTATATTACTAAATACTAAGAGAATGATTTTCTTGCATTGTCCATTGACTGTGAATTTCATATTTAACATTCAAACTTATTGCCTTATAATTTTTTTTTTCAATTAAATCACATTTACATGACATATTGGAATTGCTATTGTTGTTGTTTTTGTTTTCACTGGCACATGAGCTGTGCAACTTTCCTTATGTCAATGATATAGGCACCATGCTGCAGCCATTGACAAAGCTGTCCTGAACCCTTTGATTTCTGCTTCGGGTTTCAGTGAATTAGATACACCCCTTTGGTTAAAATTTCTTAATTTATCTATCTTTATGAAAGAGGTTTTCTGTGGTCTCATTAGATCCACTGGATATTCTAGAATTTCAACTATTTCTTCAGTATTGAATTTGAATTCAATCATAAATGGTCTTGTGTTTCCATCAGAGTTAGTCACAAATGAAAGGCTGTTTAGGAAATATCCAAGAAATATGTTTTTATTGACAGGTAGCAACACCATTTCACCAAATCGTCCGTAGGTTAACGATAATCCATCTTTATTTGCTTTAATTGTGATGTTTCCAAATGCTAGATGGCCGTACAAACCGGCATATACATCAGGGGACACGGTAACGTTCCAATAGCGCTCAGGATATGGTTTCTTATTGGTACCACGTGGAATCGGCTTGACCTCTTTCCAAGGCGCGGGAAAAGAACACGCGGTTGATTGGTTCAGCCAGGGTTCTTCGCCTAATAGCAGATCGGCTGCTTGGCTAACGATGGCATAAATGGGCTGAGCATGTTGGTTGTCCTTAGCTCCCGTCAATGCAACAAAAACACCAGATTTCAGATCAGGGAACAACCATAACATGGAAGAAAAACCAGCGATGCCTCCCGAGTGCCATAGCTTTCGGTAACCTGTAAAATGAGAAAGTGGAAACATACTTTTAGGGTACTTTGTAAAAGAAATTTTAACTTTAAATTGAACAAGCAAAAATTTTTAAAACTGCAGTTCTGTCACTAAAAAAATGTCCAAGAAAAAAAAAACTTTTTACCCCTATATACTGATGATATCCAGCCAAGGCAATATGATATTGTCATGTCTGAAATTGGATGGATGGGTTTATACAAGTTGTTCTCCGAAAAAGGCGAGTTTATTTGTTCCTTATGAAGCTCTGAGAAGTAGGCATCTGTTAGGAGTTCACTTCCATTAGAAGTGGAACCGTTTCCAAGGTGGAAATTCATCCACTTTGACATATCTTCTGCCGTGGAATATACGGATCCTGCTGGTCCACTGGGTGATACCGAACTGTTGAAAAATAAAGATTGGTAAAGTATCATCCGTTCTGGGTCCTGATACTGACCTACTTAAAGTAGCTACTAGCTTTGGTGAGTTTCATCCATTTTTAGGTCACCTGAGTAAACTCAGGTGACCTATTGCTATCTGTTTTTGTCCGTCATCGTCCGTCGTCTGTCGTCCGTCGTGCGGTGTGCGTCGTGCGTTAACATTTAAACATTTTCAGCTTCTTCTCTGAAACCACTGAACCAATTTCAACCAATTTTGGCATAGAGCATCTATGGGTGAAGGGGAACAAAAATTTTGAATTTCATGGTCCCTGCCCCCCTGGGGCCTGGGGGGTGGGGCAAAAACCACTAAAATTAGTGCAATCTTTAAAAACCTTCTTCTTTACTCCCGGACATCAAGCAGTCAAACTGTTGGTATGATTGTAATCAGCATTGAGTCCTCTACCAAAATTGTGAAATTCATGGCCCCAGGGTCAGGGGTTCTGGTGTTAGGGCAGGGCTCTATTGATTATATAGAGAAAATGCATTAATTCTTTGAAAATCTTCTTCTCTGCTCTTGGGAATTTAATAAACAAATTAAGTTCTTAGTTATGATGAGCAAAAGTGGCTCTACCAAAATTGTGAATTTTATGGCCCCAGGGTCTGGGGTTCTGGTGTTAGGGCAGGGCTCTATTGATTATATAGTGAAATGCATTATTTCTTTGAAAATCTTTTTTTCTGTTCCTGAGTATCAAATAAACTAATTAAGTACATAGTTATGATGAGCAAGAGTGTCTCTACATAAATTGTGAATTTTATGGCCCCAGGGTCAGGGGTTCTGGTGTTAGGGCGGGGCTCTATTGATTATATAGTGAAAATGCATTAAATCTTTGCAAATCTTCTTCCCTGCTCCTAGGTATTAAATAAACTAATTGAATAAAAAGTTATGATGAGCAAGAGTGCCTCTACCAAAATTGTGAAATTCATGGCTCCAGGGTCAGGGGTTCTGGTGTTAGGGCAGGGCTCTATTGATTATATAGTGAAAATGCATTAAATCTTTGAAAATCTTCTTCTCTGCTCCTAGGTATTAAATAAACTAACTATGTAAATAGTTATGATGAGCAAGAGTGCCTCTACCAAAATTGTGAAATTCATGGCCCCAGGGCCAGGGGTTCGGTGTTAGGGCGGGGCTCTATTGATTATATAGTGAAAATGCATGAAATATTTGAAAATCTTCTCTGCTCCTAGGTTTTAAATAAACTAATTAAGTACATAGTTATGTTCAGCAAGAGTGCCTCTACCAAAATTGTGAATTTTATGGCCCCAGGGTCGGGGTTCTGGTGTTAGGGCGGGGCACTTTAATGATTATATGGTGAAAATACAGTACATCTATGAAAATCTTTTTCTCTACTCCTGGGTAATAAGCAGATGAACTATTTACATAGTTATGAATTGGGCTCTTCTTCCAGAATTGTGAATTTCAAGGCCCCCTGGGTCAGGGATACCAAAATGGGGAGGGGGGGCTCTACTTATATACTGAAAATGAATTGTTTGAAATCTGATCCTTGGTATTAATCAAACATTTTTGATAAGCAAGTGTGCCTTTTCAAAAATTGTGCAATGTGTAGACCTAGGGTCAGGGGTTCATGTGTGGTAGGAGCACTCCTGATTATTGCTGAATATTACTGATTAGTTGACATACTTTTTTTGTTCCCCTACCCTGCTTATCGGTATTAAGTAAACAAACTTAACAATTGCTAAGTATAGTTATGATTAGCAATGGTGCCTCTTTCAAAATTGTGAATGCCATAGCATCTAGCTTAAAACATGAACCAAATTCAATCATTTGAAAGTTGTTGCATGATGCTCAGGTGACCTATAAGGCCCATGGGCCTCTTGTCTAGTTTTCTTACCAGAAAATGAAACTAATTTATAGTTGAACATAAAATTTTGTTTATATCTTAATGATTTTTCGAAAAGAAATATAATTTAAAGTTAAGATGCACACAATTTCAGTACATGTACTCTTTGAGGGGCAAATTTTGACGTAATTGGCTTTTATTAAACTTTGTTATTTATTTCTGTGAGAGTTACCTCTCTTATCAGACGGACAATGAACCTTAAACCTGTACGCTACGCCCTTCTGCTTTTTGCAAGTGTCGTAAGAGATCCCCTAGATTAGTAAATTAATGTTTAGCAATCATAAGCTATCTTTAGAATATTAGTACTAAGTATTCAACTTTCACTTACTACAACAAATTTTTGTCGACATAATCTAGCTTTTCGTCAACATATACAAAGGCAGGAGAGAATCCATTGAAGTTCTTCACCTCAGTCACAAAACCGCTGTCGTCCATTTCCAGAGGTTGAAACAAGATTTCTCTGACCAACTCCTCCCAGGATTTCCCACTGATCTTCTCTGCTACATAGGCGGCTAGAGTATACATGTAGTTACTGTACAGGAACTTAGTCCTGAAGGGCTCGCTAGGTTCCTGGTAGGGTAACATTCTGTTCAAAAAGAATAACATAAATGACTTTATTTATAATGATGAATTTTCCTTTAAATGGAATCGATTCTGTCCCACAAAAACGTTTTTGTCACAGTAATATGCTTTTTTGAGTAAGCAAAACAACATATCCCTCTCTTCCCCTTCTCTCTCCTCTATGTCTCTCTCTCTCCCCCTCTCTCTTTCTTTTTCTCTCTCTGGTTTTAAGACAAATGCAGACATACTCAATAAATTGCTGTCTTGTCAAGTTTTCCGGGAAGCCTACCAGGAGAGCACCAAAGTTGGAGGGCACGCCGACCTTGTGGGCCAGAAGATCCCGAAAGTTGACGTTCTTACTCAAGAGATCATTGGCAAGTCGAAACGATGGTCCCAGTATCTGGGCGATAGGTGTATCCCATGTGTAGCTGAAAGAGAGAAAATATCTTTTACACAAAGAGATCCATCACATCGGTGGGAATATTTTGTCCTATATGCAAAGGAATGTCCACCTAATGCATTATGAATAATTTGTTTTGTGTAATTGTGAATTATTTATGATGTTTCAATACTATTTTCAGTTTAACTGAGAAAATTTGCTATCAAGTTCAAATGTTAGACCAGTTGTAGAGTATACCCCAAAACAATAGATCAATATAAATTTGAACGGACATGCATCCCAATTTTTTTCAAACAAGTCAGCAACAGGAACTGATATGACCTTCATCTTTAAATTGACCTTGAATGTAAGTAAATGACCGTATACTTAGCTAGTCCGTAATAAGACTCAAATCCAGGTCAAGAGCAAGAAGCTATAATATGAGAAATACCGGTATATAAAGTTCTTTTGTAACTTCAAAGAAATGAACAAGAATAAATTCGTCGTATTGGCTTTATTGACCCTAAACCTTGAGGCATGACCTTGCTAGGGTCATGGTCATGATATCAGTGCATTTGTTGAGATGTCGGTTGAGACTCGGAACTCCACATTGACTGATTAATGAGATCTTTAGATTTTCGTGATTCCTAACGAAGTGATAAAGCTTTGGGTATTGTATCAGTTTTAGAAGTTAAAAGGAAAAAAGGTGTATCATGTGTAGTTAACGTTTTCTTGGCAAAAACTGACAGTGGTATTTCATTGTAATTATTTCTCGATTTGAGTTGCCGTTTTACTCGGTGGGTGATGACAGCTTCCCTCATGGTCTTCTCTAAATCGTTTGCATTACCAAGAATTCCAAAGATAAAAGTGTCAAAGAACGATTAACATTCTACAACCTCTAAAAAATAAGTTAAGGAAGCTTTCACTTTATACTGCATACTGAAGATTTCCAATCCCATGGAGTTAGCATAAAATAGGTATATGTAAATTTTCTGATTACAAAATTAGAGTGCCCCCCCTTTTTTTTTTACATTAAAACTGGAGTGGATAAAGTCAGTTTGTATATCTTAATATTTTCTCTAAGACTTAACAACAACAAAATATTCATAAACTATGCATTGACTTTAACACCCTTTGTCAAAGGGGTGATAAGTCTAGAAAGTACACCTCGGCCAAGGGTTTTGTCTGCACTGATACAAAATACATAAAAAAGCCAAACGGGCGCATGTCTTGTCATAACTCATCATATAACCACTGTTTACAATATAAAAGAGATATATAATCTCACGTGTTAATGATCCCAAACAGCTAGCAAGTGAATGCATTGTCTCAATAACAGTTTTATAGCTTTTTTTGCACAAAAAGGAAAGAAAGTAAAAAATATTTATTTAAAATCCAATATCATGTGCATTGCAAATGTCCCTAGCTTTGTTTTGTAATGTCAGAAAGTAATATACTGTGTTGTCGTTGTTTTTATGTCAGTTTTTTTTTCTTAACAAATTTGTTTAAATTAAAAAATATATATACAAAACTTACCTTTTGTGGTCACTGAGCAATGTGGCTATAACAGCACTAGTAAACGCTTTGGTAAGGGACCCTAAACAGAATTTGGTTTCGTTTTTAATTGGTTTAGTTTTCTCTACGTCATAATAACCAAAACCTTTCGTAAAAACGGTACTTCCATTCTCAACGATAGTAACTGTTCCTCCAGGAATCTTCTTACATATCACCAATTCATCCAAAAACTTAGAAAATCCATCAATCTGTTGGTCAGTTAGCGCTGATGCTGTTCCTAAAATCAAGAACATCGACAATAGTATAATTTCCGTACATATATGTTTTCCCATGTTGGTAATAAAAGTATGGAGGGATTGACAGTTTTTTTTTTCTTAGCACTGACGGAATCTAAAAGATAGCGCTAAAGAATCTGAACTCAAGGGATAAACGAATGATAGAGACATCGAAGAAAGATGATAGCAGAACTGAACATGTTCATGAATTATGATAAGTCAATTATTTGCACCTGAGTTACACGATTTAACTTTTAGCAGTAATGGAAGGGACCACAGTGGTTAAAACAAAAAGAGAAAACAAATCAAGTACCCCACTGAATGGCATATCACTGTCTGATCTTCACCGAAAATGTTATTATAGTGTTAGCTAAAAAATCTTAAATTGAGAAATGTGTTTCTTGTTTAAATAAACCCCTGAATACGCTTAGCAAGTCAGCAAGATCCACCCCCATTATTTCCAAAAATTACATCAAAATACCAGCACAAATTATTTTTTAAAAAGTATGCAATTTGAATTTTGAAGGTGCTGTAGAGGTAACAGCATGTGTATCGTATGATTCTTCTGGGCCGAATACAAGTTCGAAGAATAGCTTGATTAGTGTCGAGCCTTTCATGGTCATTGTCGTCGGAACCGGAGGGACTAGCCCCCCCCCCCCCCCTTCCACTTTTTTTTTTGCAAAGATAGACATAGTATATGCATTGAAAATTGGGGTTTACCTTTTTTTGTTGGTTTAGCCCCCCACTTTCACCCCCCCCCCTACCAATTTGCTTCCGACGCCCATGATGGTTATAGCTTTTAATCTTTTCGCTACCTGTTATGTCCTAAAGTGAGTAGAATCATCTAAATGTTAGATTTATTTGTCAGGTGACTCGTCACAATGTAAAGCTGCAATATCTATAATACACAAATTTCATTCCAAGATTCATTTATAGGTCAATTGAATTAGCCACCAACGGCTCTTTGTTTTCGTTCGTCTTCGTGCGTCGTCTATCGTAGAATAATATTTGGCATTTTTGAAATCAGCTTCTTCTCTGGAACCGCTGAACAAAAATTTTGGTATCTAGCATCAATAAGTAAATGGAAATAAAAATGTGTGATTTTCATGGTCCCTGGTCCCCCTCGAGGCTTAAGCATTCTTGAAAAAAATGTCTTTACTTTTGATCATCTTTGGCATTGAGACCTCAACCAAAAAGAGAAAAATTTACGTCATTGTCAGGAGTTCTAATGTTAGAGTGTGGTTATGATGAGCAAGAGTGTTTCTTCCATAATCATAAAATTCATGGCCCAAAACATCAAGATTTCCTTTGTTATGATGCACTCTTTGAATACTGTATTTTACGCTAAGGCATCATAGAGACAGCTGTGATATAATAATATTATACAGGAAAGTTTCTGAGTTGGTGCTTATTAGCAGACTGATATTTTGTGGTCATCGATCATCTTTTGTCTCCTGGTTGTTATTTTTATTTTGAGGTATAAATTGCAAGGTCATGTTATTATTTACCATTTTGTCATGTTGTAAATTTTGAATTTACCAGTTGGCAGTAAATAAAAAAACTTACAACATATGACATTGTTTAAATTCCCTGGATCCTTTGTACATGATGATATGATATTCAGGTGACTGTTGAAGCCCTCTGGTCCCTTGATAAAATTTGGATGATTTTCATACCCATTTATAAGAATCCATTCTCCGATTACTATAAATAGGTTTTCTATACTCCATGCATAGAAAAAAAGATCCCTAAGGGCTCATCCTAAACACCCATGAACTATGGAGTTTGGACAATTCTTTCATTTTTCTAGCTTGTCATTTAGATTTTTAGGGTAAGTCGACATTTTCTTCCATATCATATTCCCATTTCAAATCGATGCTAGGTGTCTGATATTTTTTATTTATTTAGCCTATTTTATTTTTTACATCGCACCAAAAATAAATTTCCAATTTTAAAATACAGTTGGTTATGTTTATTTTAGCCCTTTATTCGCTTTCTCTCGGTAGTTCAGAATTCATTTTTTTTTTAAAGTCTAAAATAGAAGAAAAAATAGTCGTTTTACTGAGTGAAATGTTTTAGTATAAAAAGTTTCTATCTTTTGGAAAAAGTGATATTTCTGCAAAACTTCTTGCACGTGCTTTAATTTTTTCATTAATTATGTTCGTACACATTCAAATAAATATAATATGGGTAAAGTAAGAAATAGTTGATAAGACATTTGCCAGCGTGCCGAAGGCTAGAAATAATAGATCCGCGCCGCAGGTGATAATCGTCTCTCGAAGCGTTTTCTGATAAAGACTATAAACTCTGCGAAGAACATGAAGAAAAGGGGCTTGGAGTGTCAGAATCTCAAAATGGCGGAGGAAATATTGGTTAGATTTGAAGGTAAGAAAAGTTTTGGAAAAGTGTTTATAAGTATCTGTGCATTGTTCAAAATGCAATGCTTCATAGTACGGGAAATGTGTCATAAATGTGTCGCCATTGTAATGTTTATTTTGCCCCAGGTATTCTCAGGTAAGTTCTACGAGATTTTGTGATCCAAAAGAAAAAAAGATAAACATAAAAATGGAGTAAATGTACAAACAAAGTTGAAAATAATTACAATTGATTTCTGCATTTTATAGTAGTGTACGATATAAATTCTTTGTTTATTTGGATTAAAGGGTAACGGAAAAGTCATAACTTTATTTGTTAAATCGGCAGTGATTGTTATTTTTTTCCATCACAAGGGGTGATCTCAAAATAGGAGAGACACTGTAAATGACTGCAACTGCAGGATGATTATAATTTTCTTTTAGGCTTTACTGCCTTTAGATCATGTTTCAGTGGGCCAGAGAAGTATAAATAACTTTGAGAAGGATAATTATTTATGTATGTTTAATTTCTTTGGATATTAAATTTGGCCTTTTGTTGTTGCTGCAAAATTTAAAGTTCATGCAATTTATATTAATTTTTCTGTAAAGGTTTATATTAATAGACTAAGGTATATAATACTAAATATATATACCGGTATATACAAAACATTTAATGAACTGTAATTTGACCATCAAAAGGCAAGTTTTAGTGTCAGAAATAGAAATAATCCTGTCTCTTGAAAGACAAAACTTGATACAAATTTCAGGTGAAAAACGATAAAAAGTAGATTGTTCAGGATTTGAAGGAAAAAGCTATTAAAACATGTACAACGAACCTGTAATTTTTCATTGCAACTTTTCCTTTTACTCGATCCTTACTCAGAAATGCTTATAAGTACATGTACCTCCTGCACACTATTTCTTAACTTATATATAATTCTAGTATTTTCTATAAATTGAAAAGTAAACGGTAGGGAGATTCAAAGTCTGAATTTATATATTAGAATATATATCCTGTGATTGTAGGCATTGAGTGTAGAAAGAGATATATCAAAAGAGAATGGCAAGAATTACTCCCCTTTCCAGATACATTGTAATGTATATAGAATACATCGATAAGCAGATTTTTTCAGTTCTACAGAGACTAATTATCCACTTGAGATTATTAGTATATAGACTTATAGTCTGATTTCTTGTTTATAAAGAACAAAGCATGCAGAAAGGCAGTAGCCCCCCCCCCCCCCAAAAAAAAAAAAAAAAGAAAAGCCCAACCCACCTCCTCCCACAGGCAATGATACGTTTTAAACCCTTGTCTTCATTGATAAAAATATCATAATACATGTGCAATAATTGGAATATTTAATTTTAAGAGACAGATACGTAGTCACAGCTTTGAATATTGTAGAAGATAATATTGGATCAAGTTTAATCGGCTTGTAAAATTTTTACTTGATTTTTTTTGTGGACATCTCCTGTTAAGTTTTTCACTCTTATTGGGACCACCACTTGCCAATGGAGGGTTACAAATTTAGACTTAATCAAAAGTCTCATCTGAAGTACAGCTTTCCACATTCTGCAGTGGGATTTGAACCCGTTACGCAAGAGTCAAGTCCTTACTCCACCACTCTGTAGCAAAAACTCTAACCACTGGGCCACATGGGTGACTGACTTAATACAGTTAAACTTGTCTCTGAATACACTGTTACACAACATCTGAGTTGGACAAGTTTTACTTTAGAAGATGTCATGGTGAAAAATTCAGTAAAATCTGGTGGAGGAACTTTTTTTGCAATGGTTTTTAGCAGGATGGTTTATTAACACTTTCTTGTAACAGGCATTGGAGTGTGTTTTGAAACACTCTTCTTAAAGAGATGGAAAATTATTTATAAGTCTTAGTCACACTTCGGATATTCTTTCATCCTAACTGTGACCAAATATCGCTTTTATGCAAAAAGTGATTGACAGTATTTTGTTGAAAAAATGTACTAAATTGAATTTTACAAATTGAATGTAGAGAGGAATGAGAAATGTAAAAAGAAAAGGCAACTGAAATTCAATTTTAAAAACAATCCCATTCCTTAGGTATGTCAAAATTTAGTAACCCATTGACCTGGGATTGTGAACTTGTACCCATAATTTCAGTACGAGTAAGGAATTCAGTTCAGTAGAACCAGCACTCGTCTGGTATTTATATGAATTTTACAATGTTGACTTTCTGAATTGTCATTTTTGTAAACCTTGTGGTCTCTGCCATAGGCAGTGGTTACCGAAATATTACTTGAAGTCAAAGAACACAGGAATTGGAAATTAAATAAACATGTATGCTTTGCCCCCTTGAAAAAACAGATGTTAAATGGTTTTAAAATCATCTCGGATTGTCTGAAGATTCATCATGTTCATATTTTAAATATTATTTTATCCTTAGAATCTTCTTTTGTGTGATCAATTCTATGGACTAGAGTTTGCCTTTGATGTCCGTTGAAAATAAATACAGACAACATTTAGTCTAAATATCAATATACCAATACATGACTTAGGTTTGTAGGATATACAACCAACTAAGCCTATCACTAAATAATATTGTTTTGGTAAAAAGGACATTAGATTACATTGAAGGATGAATTTTAAATTTTATTTTTATTCAAGAATATTTGTTTGACATCTTTGACATCTGTGATTTTTTAATGTCTGCCCTTACCAAAGTAAAATTATTGCAGCAATATTGCTGCTATATTGCGGCAACATTGCGGCAACACATTTTTGTCACCAGAAACAAGCTTTTTGGGTTAGTGAAATATCACCGCTAGCGGCAACA